CATCTGTTCTATGGCATCACTCAGACACATCAGGTTTGTTTTGCTCCTTCCGCTCCATGTTTTTGGGAATGACCATCAAACGAATCAGGCCCAAGCAAAATGGAGTGAAAGTAGATTTTTAAACAACCAAAAAGAATAACAGGGTAGCTGTACTTTGGAATTGTTAACTGCATAAGGACGGCTTTTTGAAGATTTTTTTATTCTCACTGCATGCATAAAAAAACCACAACATTCCTCTTCTTCAGCAGCTGTTAGCTATATAGCTAAGTAAGTAAACATTTAGTGTGAGAGACTTCAGAGTGGCCTGATTTGTCTGTTTAACTTATTATCAAGCTGTCAGAGTACCACTGTATCTGGGGACTGATTACACTTGGAAAAACTGCCCAAATAATAATATGAGGAAAGGGTTGGGGGGAGTTTCCTTAATCATTTATAGCAGTAGTAACACAAACCTTCATAATATGAGATTTAATTTGACAAGTACTGTGAACTTTAAGTAACATATTTGGTTGCATGATTTGTGGGTTGGAACATGAGTGTTTTTTTGTGCTCTGACGAGTACAAAAAACATAATTCAATAAAAAAGACATTCTGAATGTTGAGACTGATCAACATCTGAAACATATTACAACTGCTAATATATTCATTTACACTGAAGTTTAAATAACTGTAATTTGACTACAATAACATACTCATGACAATTTTCATAGCCCAAATACACATGGTTAGACAATTCAGTTTGAGAGAGTGCACATCTTGGCCCCATTTCAGAGAGTATATTTAACAAGCCTTGAGTAGAAGGCATATACTCTGAATAAACCTACCCAGCTCTGCAGTTTTCAGTTTCAGAACAGGAAATATCAACTAACTCAGTTCTGAGTCAAGTTACCCCTGACTTAAGGGTGAGTGCAAGACACCCTTAAGTCAGGGTGTCTTGCAGGGCAGATTCCATCCACTGATGGATGGAATCTGCGTTCCATCCATCAGTGGAACGCAGATAGTGTGATTCATCATAAAAGTGTGCACCAATGGAATTAGAAATTTTAATGACAGCTTAATGAGAATATCAAAAACATATTTAACAAAAAATAAATAAATACAACAGTACTGTTGCTGCTGCAAAATAGTGGGAGTCAGCATGGCAGAGACTAAATCAATGTGAGAGTGTGATTTAGTAATATTCTTGACGCTAAAGTTATTTAACGTCCCAAAAAAAGGAGTCTGTGCAAAATATTTATATATATAGAACTTTGGACACCCAAAAATATGAATAGATTATGCTTGAAGAGTCAAAATGTGATGCAAACAAAAGTTTTGCTTTCATTAATACCTGCAATTTTGTGGAGTTTTTCTTTGACCAGTTTTGTGAGTGTGACTATAGAGCACCTAAATTGTACAGGAGGGTTTCCCATGGTTTTCAGAAAATGTTTAACTATTTGTAACTAGCAACCTAGTTTTATGATTTTGGATACCTAATATTAGATTGAAATAATTTCACAACCTGGTCAAACATTTGATATATGAATACTTAAATTTGAGACATTGAGATATTAAATGTCAAAAAATGGGGAGAAGGTTGTTTGGAGTGTTTGTGGGTTAGTGATTCGATAGACTAAAGATCACAATTAGACAGTTTACTCTTTATCCACTCTGATCTGTGGCCAGCAGGTTGTGTACTGAAAAATGTGGGAAAATCAGTTTTATAGAATAATCTCATAATTGCTTCATTTTCTGTTAGATTCAAATATATGTGTTCCTAAAGTATGCTTGCTTTCTTTTGTTACAGTTCTTAGAAAACAAAAACCCAAATTAGTAGGTAAGACATAAAAATAGAAAAGAAAAACACAAAAACCATAAATTGATATTAAACAGAAATAGGCTGACTGGTGCACCTCTTGTAATAATCTGTCAAATCCATATTCAATAGCTGGCCAAAAAAGGGATATGGATCAAAATAATTTAAAACAGCGTAATGCTTACCTTCACTCTATTACCACAGTTTTAGAAAATAATATACAATAAATGTGAACATGAGGAAACATTTTACATTCATCTGCACAATTAGATACTAATGCCACAGTACATGTATGATTATTGTTACACATACCCAGTAGTACATAAGTAAAAAATATATATGTTTAGATTATCAACATGGAGGTGCATGGAATGACAATGGGGTTACAATTTGGTGCACTAACCTGGTGGTATATAACATATTACAGACAGTAATGTTTCTGTGCAGTGAATGACAAAAATGTGCATTTACCTTTCAGGATATTTTGTGACAAGAGAGGGTGCCATTTTAACTATAGGTTTAAATAAAACCAATAAATAAGCAGAGGTTCAGTCAAACTAAATGTAAAATCAGGTTGCTTAGCCTCTGGCATGAAATGCACATCAACTGACTTGCTGTAGGAGCTCAGATTTCTGTTTACTTCAAACCAAGTGAGGCACCGGCAGCAGACAGCACCAGATGAAAACCAATGAATCCCAATCTCAAAACAATAATCCGAAATCAATCCCGCGGGCTGAACTTTCGCTTGAGCAAGCCAATGTTTACTTTATTCTTGTACATGATCAAGAAAAGCTGAGTTCGTTCTGGCCTCAGCCGAGTCAGACCGTGTGCAAAAACACCACAAAACAAACGTCTTCCTACTGGTTTTCCCATTAGTGGCAATACACCAAAGAAAAAAGTAAAACCATTATGATCTGAATCACTGCAATAGGAAAATCTACCACTCAACAGCAGCAACTTTACTAGTCCAACAAAACTTAGCTATTATGTTGTTACATAGCAACGATTGATCTCAACACCTGAACAGACTTTTCAAGAAAATCTAACCTACTGGACAATATTATATCAGCCTATTAACAATATTAATGCCCTTAATAAGGTGAATAATCAAGCTCGTCTTAACTAGTTCCTCATTCTTTTGATTAGCATGCAAGCTACTGACTGTTGAGCGAAGTTAGCAAACTTAGCTCCCGAACTTATATTCAACTTTGTCGTTACCGTAGCAGTCTAGCATTCGTTTGTTAGCCAAGTTAAATGAAAAATGTTTACGTACAGACTTACCTTTGGCTGAAAGTCCAGTGTTGTCCCTTACTTCTCTGTTAAACTTTAGTGGGTTTTATCGATAAGCAGTGTTTAGGTCACAAGCTATCCAGCTAATTGTTAGCTAGCAGAACTGGCTAGCATTCGTTAGCCTGTAAGTGGTTTGTTTTGAAAATGGTTCAGTCTGAGACAGCACAGGGCTAACATGAACTAGATCAACTTAGCTAACGTCAAATATAGATTTGAAATCAATTAAATCCTCAACTTCTACGCATTAATAGCTCCTTTGCATTAACAGTAATACGTATTATTGCAAATGTACAAGGTATGTTTTGGACTCACGCATAAAGATATTCAACGCGCGGCTAAGTTTAGCAAGCAAGGCAGGAAAAACTCAAGTCATAAATTTCGAATCAAAATGGCGACGTGGTCATGACGAGGGCGCGCAACAGACGGGAACGTGCATTGAATAAACACTAGTGGTGAGTCTCGTTTCTAAGACTTATGAAGAGAATATATTTATATACAAACACATATCCCATCACTGTATGACAGCGATAGTAAATATTAGAGTTCAGGTGGAAATCCAGATTCAGAACTTGAATACATATTGTTGAGAAAATAAATTTAAAATAAGCTAGTTTTAAAACTTAACATGTCTTGATTCAAATGGCCTAATTGTGGTTTTGAAATCAGTAACTTATTCTGGCCTATTGACCTTTATTTTACTTGTAGTTCCAGCAGATGGTTTGCTGGGATCGTTTGAATTGCCTTTTGTCTGTGAGAAAACAATACAGTGGAAGTTCCAGCTTTTCACATTCATTTGTGAAAGGCCGTAAACACGGCAGGGGTTTTAGGCTTCAGATAGAGGGTCAGAGATAGCTCCTGGTTGGAGGAGAAAAGGTACGCCTTATTTGAATAAATTAAATACAAGAGGATAAAACTTTCTACACAGAAGTAACAGATTAGATTTGCCCTTGCAATTCTCCAAAGATGTCTTTGCACGTCTTTGCTTTTCTTTCTTTCTTTCCTTCTTTATGTCAGGTAAATGAATGTATGTCTCCGTCGTTCTGCAGTTTCTGGTGTAAGTTTGTGCATTGTCTTACTTTGGATTAAACTCTGTAATTCTGTGACGTCAACACGCATTGTTGTTTCCTTGTGCCTACACGTGGCCTGCCGAGAGGACCTGGGATCTAAAGGAAGAGAGAGCCAGACTTTTTTCTAAAGTTAACTATTTTAGAATTTCTTCCTTAACAATATGTAAAAAATCCAATGTGAAGATAACTGTTGAGAAATGTGTCCCTAATGCGTTTCACCGAAAAGGCCATCTGTTATGACCCAGCTCAGCCAGGGGGAAGCGGAAGTAACATTAAAGAAACCTGGATGTTAAAGGTTTAACAATTTAAAGGTTTATTGTTCAGTTTTGACAAAAATAAAAAGGTAAAAATTAACAATAATCAAAATGTAGGGACTTACAACAAAAATGTACTAAATAAAACAAAATCCACAAAACGAACAGAGTTGAAAATCAAAGATCTTAACCAAACAAAAATGGACTTTCAGTACAGGTTAAACAAAAACAAACTACAAATCTCTAACAGAGATACAAAGATCCCCCACAGTTACACAAGCTATCAGAGCTAGCAAAGCAAGTTTACAGCAGTCAACCAAGCACCCAACAAAGTGGCAAGCTGTCTGAACAAAGAAACACAGAGCTCCTGAGCTGTAGCTTCAGATATGACTGAAACCTAGGAGAGAGCGTTGGACACGGTGTGGACAAGTCTGTATCTTTGAAAATTCCAACATGATGCTCTGAGGTTTTCACATTGTTTTCTCCTTGCCCTCCAAGAGTCAGCTGAGTTCTGCTTGGAAACAGATTTAATTTGGTCTATCACTTACATTCACATTAATTTCTACAGGAGGACATGAATGGCATCCTCTTATCTATCTGTGAGCAGGCTGCTTTTGTGCTCCCTCTAGCTGTCTGTGTCTTGTTTTAGCTCTTGTTTCCTCAGCTTCTGTTTTTTTTTTTTTGTTTTGTGAGGGACATCTTTTCTTAATGGCAGGGGGACCAGGGCTCATACAGACCTCTTCCTCGTTGACTTCAGTAGCTGATTTGTCCTGTATCAGTGAAATATAGAAAATTAGCAATAAAAAAAGGGTTAAATATGAAAAAAAAGCATAAAACAAAAAGAAAATAATACAGATCACTTTCATTCAGAGTTTTCTAAAGCAGCAACAGTAAATTTCACAAGTGTAGTTACTGAGCACATACTGAGCAGTTATATGATAATGGGATGAAATGTTAGTGACATATGAGGTATGATACAGGAAATAAATATTGGGCTTGGACAATGACTGATAAGTTGGAATGAGAAAAAAATCTTTCTTTACATTTAGAATTTCATAACTCCTAAATTTAATGATTAATTTCTTTTCAAAATTCCCAGTACTTATTGAAATATTTGCTTCCTTCAACGTCACCATTATGCCCGGTTCTGTCCTATTGAAATGTTGGATGGATGAAAAGCCCTGGGGCACTGTCGCATATTATTCCGGTGTTCCACCTGTTGTTTTTTAACAGGTGTTCCAACTTTCTGTGCTATCCATTAATCTGTCCTACCTCGTGGTAATGTGCATGCGCACATAGATGCTACGTCACATACTGCTTACTCAGCATATTTCTTATCAATACATTCTACCTGTGGAAGTTTTATTTCGTCCATTTTATTTCATCGAAGATTAAGGTAAGCTTAATTTATTTTATTTATACCTGGCTTTATAACCCTGTCCTTGTACTTAAAATATTTTAGTCTAATACTCTTTTATTAAACCGTACCAAACAGAGCATGTTAGTAGCAATATTATATGAGATTGAAGCTGTGTATTAGTGGTGTAATATTAGTTTATATTAAGCATATCCTAGTCAACTAGTTGGTGCAACCCCTAGTTAAGTTATATTCACTGCAAGTTGAGTAACTGCTATATAGAGCTGCATCATAGTTTAATTTCAGAATCCCATCTGCCACTCGGAAGGTATAAACTTAGATCATTTTCTTATAAAGCTGAAACTTAGCTGGAATGTTTCTAGCCTGCTGTGTGAAAGAACTGCCTACCAGAGAAGCTAGAATGACCTGAGCTTTGTTGTCTGATCCAAACTTGTTTAAAATTGTGTTGGGTCTGATGAAAGTATGTGAGAACATGCAGGTCAAATCAATTTGTTAAGAGACCCACCACTAGGTCATGTGCATGTGCAGTTAATACTCACCCCACTGTTGCAAAGTTAGTGGTTTTTCAGAAAAGTCATTGATATTGGTCAAAATCAAAATTGACAGGTTAGTCTTATTAAAGATCAATAATTAGCCAGGAAACTACCATGACGACATCCCTAATTTTTGGTAGACTGCCCCCCAGTGTCTATACTGCTAAGAGGAATTCTAAAGCTTACCATAATGTCTTAATTTGTTCATACAATGGAAACATGTCCAGGCCTGATGAGTTTAGGTTGAACACTTAAAAAGGAATTACAATTTAGCACCTATTTGCAGTGGATAGAGGTCAGTTTTCTCTATGTATTGTCCAAGCCTGCTGGTGAAAATGATTTTACTGATTTAACCTGTTAAAATTAGATAAGAAGTACCTTCATACCAAACCAAAATCCAACATTCAGTTTCCAACATCAAGCACAATCAGGGTGGTGCCATGCCAATAGCAGCAGAAGAGAACAGAGTATAGAATGATGGACTGTACTTTATTGACTTGTCTTCTGGGTTTGTAGTGGTTGAGGAGACAAGCAAAGCCTTGTCTTGACTTTCTTGGACACATGGGAGTCTCCAGAGCTTTGAACTGATCTCTTTTCCTCTTTGGATTTTCCCTTGCCAGTTGCAGGTTTTACCTGTAAGTCATTAACAACAGTCTTTATTTGAGATGGTCCATAGCTACAGATAGTGAACCAAAAGAACACCACAAGAACACCATGTTCTTATTTTTAATGACAGACTCCATCTAGCTCCAGAAGTTTACATACACCTAATACAAAGACACATACACTGTCTCAAGTTAAATAAGACCAAACCCCTTGTAAGGTCAGACAGAATTATCAGAATTGTTTCTATTTGCTAGGTGTATTTCTACTATTTATTTGCCATAATAATATGAGAGTGTATATCAGAGGTTCGTTTAATTATGTCTACAAAATCAGAAGTTCACATACATGTCCTCAGTTTTTGGTAGCATTACATTTGAACTGCATGATTTGGGTCAAACGTTGTGGTTTTCTTTCCTCAAACTTTTCTCAACACTTTACTGGAATTCTGGACCATTCCTCTTTTCTACATGATGCCAATCTATGTTATGAAGTGCACCAGTTACTCCTGCAGCAACAATATGATACTTCCACACCCATATTTCACAGTTAGGATGATACAACCAAACCAGTTTCCCCACCTTTTACACATTTGCAAACTACAAACTGGCTTTTTATGTTTCTTTTGAAGAACTGGGTTCCTTCTTGCCGAGTGGCCTTTCAGCCTGTATTGGTGTAGGACATGTTTCACTGTGGATAATGGCTGCCTTATCAGCTTCAGCAGCATCTTCACAAGGTCTCTGGTTTTTGTTCTGGGGTCAATCTACACATTTGGACTAAAACACACTTATCTCTGGGACACAAAACCTGTGTGATTTGAACAGATTTTGTATTCTGACATTTTTTCTATCTACATTTGACAAGAGAAAGTTAGGTGTTGAGAAACAAAGGTGGATGTGTCTTTATTCTGTGTATGCAAACTTCTGGTTTCAACCTGGATAAACAAGTATTGGATAATTTCTTGTTGAACTAGAGATTATCATTAAACTGTGCTAAAATCACCCATTTTCTTTCACACTAGCAATAAATACATGCATACACCACAATTACTTATGATTAATTCGGTTAAAAATAGCATAAGACTCAAAAGGACATTTTTTATGAGATGATCAGTTTTCTTTCATAAGTTAATGAACTGAAACGTAACAAAAAGCAAGGTTATTACTACAAGCAGGTCTTTAGAAATAAAAAAATACATTCATTACTCACTTACCTCTTTAAATATTGCAAAATGTGCAGAAACATTTTAAAACGGTAAACGGAAAACACATCAGTCAGAGAAGAAGAAACAAGATTTAAAGAACAGAAATATGAAAGAAAACACTGAAATTAATACAGAAGCTAAAGTAAATATTTAGAGTAGAAGCAACAAATGAACTTCTCTGTGATATTGTTAACAAGCTGGAAGAAAAAGGCTTTAACCTGCTTCATTCATTTTAGGAAAAAGTATCCAGATCATGTTAATGTCTGCGCTTACAATGTCTCTAGTCTACTGACTCTAATCTCTTTATACTTGGCTCATTAGGCTAGACTGATTAAAAACATAAATAAATGAATAAATAAATAAAAAAACCAGACATTCTGTCTGACAGGAAGTATAATGTAAGGCTGAGAAAAGTCACTCCTACGTGTCAAAAAACCAGCACTGGATTCCCCAAGGCTGTGTCCTTTCCCCTTTACTCTTTTCATCAACATCTGCACCATCAGCCAAGCTCCTGAAAGTGGTGAACACCACCACCCTCATTGGACTCATCCCTGAGGCAGTTAAGTCCATCTATGTGGGAGGATGCTAATAAGACGATGGAGATAGTTGGAGACTTCAGTTAGAGTCCCACCTTCCCCCATCATCTTGTGTGACCTGAAGCAACTGAAAAAATTCAACCTGCTAAAGACAGTGATACACTTCAGTACCCCCATTGAGTCCATCCTCACCTCCTCCATCACAGTCCCTAGCCACTGCTAACGACAGAAACAGACAGCAGCAGATCATCTATGCTAAGGAGATGTTTAGCAGCAATCAGCCTTCCCTGCAAAATATGTACGTCTCCCAGATACAGAAGCTGTATTTCACATAGATTGGTTGGTTTGAGATAATGTTGCCTTTCCTTTCTCTTGGGAGTGACCTTGGGAGTGACCAACCCACCTGCAATAGGTGGATTGCTGGTTCCATTCCCAGTCAACCTGCCTCTGTGTCCTTGGGCAAGACATTTCACCCTTCACTTTGCCTGCTGGTGGTGGTCAGAGGGTCCGATAGCGAAGGTGCATGGCAGCCTCACTTCTTTCAGACTGCCGCAGGGCAGCTGTGGCTACTATCCAGTAGCTTGCCACAATCAGTATGAGTGCATCCATCAATAACTTAATAAAGCCCTACACAAGTACAAGCCATTTACAATTTACCATTTGAACCGGTTTCCATTATCCACAGATTTTCATTCTACTGGAAAGCAGAAATGGTAGAGTGTGGAAATTGCAGTAGATTAGCCTATCTTACACCAACAACCCTGCCATGTCCAAAGTAAATTACATCCTTTCCTTCTCTATTTTGATGAGTTGAGTTCAAGTCTAATTTCAACAACCCTAACCCCATTTGACATCTACACGCAGGGCCAGATTTATAATCTTACAGACCTTGACAGCCTTCTAAAACAGCCTTGTTGCCCAGCCTGAATAAAGGAATGTTTTCTGAAACTCCATCCACACCAAATTTTATGAGAAGTGACAATAACTTTTCAGGCCTGGAAGATGGGAGAACCTTCAAAGAATTTGTAGTTAACCTTAAAACTCTCTTTTTACTTAAAGACAACAAGCCTTTTAAACTAAATACTCACCACAGAGGGTCCATCTCCAGCTGGCCACATGTTTATCTTGACTGTGTGTGTTTCCTTCTTTAGCAGAGGAGCTTTACGGCCGAGTTTCAAATAGAAGTAGGTGGTATATGGCGTGAAGCTGTAATCCTCTCTAAATTCAACACAGAAGCCAACAGAGCTGTTTTTATAGATGGCTGAATGGAAGTTAGAGTCTTATTGCAACCAGCTAGTCCTGAACATTGCAGTGCAACATGGGCAGCTTGACCAGATCACAACTGACAGACAGGCTAACACGGCTTAAAGAGGGGTCATCTTTTCAAAAGTTCTAGTAAGTGGAACTAGAAGTCTAGTTGAATTAGCTGCTGCAATTAAGAAATGGAAATGAAATGATTCCCATTTCATTACATCAAATGGGAATCATTTGATGTAATGATTCCCATTACATAAAATCTTTTTATACATTATATTGTTAATCTTACAACATTAATTATTATCATTTATTGCTTTAGCCTGAATACTTCAAAATTTAACCTCTGCCTTCGAAATGAAGAGTAAGGAGGTTTAAAACTTTTGGAGGCGGCAAAAAAAAAAGAAAAAAAAAAGTCAAACTGAGACAAAAAAAAATGTAGCAAATTTAGTCTTCTTCCCAGTTATTGACCAGGTCAAGTAGAAAAAAATAATTCTACTTTAACATTTTCATTACTTTTTTATAAGATGGACCATTTGGGGCTAGCTTTTAAAATAAGCCCTTATTATTCAGTTATTAATTATTAGACTAATCAAGGCTGTAATAACTTCAAACCAGATATATATATATATATAT